GTATGAGTGTGTGTGATTATGGCAAAGCATAGAGGGCTATCTGCCTAAGGGGAGGGATGCCTTTGTGGAGGACTTTCTAAGGGAAACTGGCTCATATACACATTTGAATGGTATGAAAAAATTATTACAATGCAATTGGTTGTGTGATTGCAGTGAATTTGAATGATGGGAAGATTTGTAAGGGGTTGGGTGTTGGTTAGGAAGTACGATGATAATTTTGTGGTTTACATGGTAAAACAGCTGAGTGCGGTAAGATTACTTTGAATTTTTGTATGATTTGGAACAAAAGGGAAGAAAAGCATTAATTAATCTGGTGTGTAAATGCAGGTTTACTTAGTAGACATTATAAGTGTCCTGTCTGTACGGAGGAAACGCGTACAATTGAATGTTAAAGGATACCGGCACTAGGGAGGTTACTTTTTACTCACATTTTTATGAATTTATCAGGCGATGACAGTATATAGATTCTAGTTCAGATAATTTTACGAAGTTTTTGGGTGGGTTAGCCTATATTCTAGGGTACCCCTTGGATTATCGCCAAGTTGTTTTATTTATGGCAACCTGAATAATTTACGTTGAATGTTATGGATACCCATCATGACGTGGCTGGTTGTAATGCATGATTGTGGTGGTTTTGACAGAAGGAAAAATATTTGTAATGGCTTAGTTATGTGTTGAATGTTGGTTAAGAAGTACAATGCTTATTTTGTATTTTACACCATAAAATGCCTGCTGGTGGTATGAGTAACCTGAAGTTACCTCTTTACACTTTGGAACGAATGGAAAAGAAAACAATCATTGACTACTAGGTAAATGAAATTTTAAATGGCTTTGTTCACCTCTTGGCAAGTTACACAGTGGGATTTGATTTAAGGAATTACAAGTATGTGGAGTGTAAAAAGGGATCTTCAAAAGAAATGCCACCTACACTCTGCCAGTATGGATGATATTTTTCACTTTTACTTTTGTGAATTTATGTGGTGACAACACAGTATACAGATTCTAGTTTAGATCATTTTAAATAGTTTTTGGATGATGTTGTTTCTGTGTGTCAAACATACCGAAGAAAGAGAAATTCTTAAATAAGGTAAGTCAATATTTCCTTTTCGTAGTGCGGAGATTAGATAACATGTACAGTCAATAGTCGTTAATTCGGATACCCATAATCCGGAATGATCTATAATCCGGACCTCAAAGCTACAAACTTTCTGCGCATGCGTTAGCGTTCACGCGTACGCACAAGACCTTTACGGCTGCAAATATACGTGTGCACAAGCGCATAATATGTTTACACATGCGCGTTTAATGTATAACAGACAATATAAGGTAATCTAAAATTATCTAATTCAGTTAATGTTGTAGATTGCGTTGTTCCTTAATCTTGGAATTGGATCCGGCTTATTATTTTTTGCAGACTGTTACAGCAATTTTATAAAAGTAAGCTTGAACTTTCGATTATGTCAAATAGAATTTCCGATATATATTTACTAATATGTAAAGGATCTACAAAGCGAAAGTATGTTTCGAAGTCCATTAAACAAAAAGTGGAATTGCTGCAAAAATGGATAAAGACATATCCTTTGTTTATCTAACTATTCCAAAATCTGTTTATCAATTTCACGCTGCTCTGCGGCAGGGGTACGCCGCGGTGCGCAATGAATTGGAAGTTGATCTGTCAGCACTATCCTTATCTTCAGGGCAGATGTTTTTATTTTATTTGGCATATAATTCCTTACTAAATATAGCATTTCATCTCGATGTACTCCGTCTTTGATATGATTTAAATCAAATTTCTCATCATTATAATTCGCTTCCGATAGTGAAGAAAATGACACAGAGGTTATTAAAAACAAAAAAATTTCGATTGACAAATTAGTCAGTATTCTCGACACAGCAATTATAGGACTTGAACAGCGGAACTTTGTTACTGAAGAAGAAATTATGTCTGTTTATAGAATTAAAGAGAAAGTATTATCACATAAAATGAAGCAACTTAAACAACTTACATTGAAAGAAATGTTTAATAAAGTAAACAAATAAATATTAAGATTTTTTTTTTTTTTTTTTTTTTTTTTTTTTTTTTTTTTGTAAATTTTGATACCCTTTAGATCATAATTGTTCTTTCTTTCATAAATTACGGTTTCATATTTTTAATTTTATAATTTCTGCATGCCATCTTACCAGATTTAAACTGATGATCTATAATCCGGAAAAATCGATAATCTGGAATCGCCGAAGTCCCGATGAGTCCGGATTAACGACTTTTGACTGTACTTCCATTCTTATGTTATTTCCCTGTTTTATTTAAAATGCACTTTATTGAGATTATACATTTTTTGTTTTAATTATGTTTTATAGCATTATGTTTTAGATGCCATTTTACTGGAGAAGGTGCTGGACATAAAAAGGAATGGCACCAAAAAAAATCACCAATTTTCGCCACGAGGTACCATGAAATATATTTTTACAAAAGTGCATAATAATAATACTATAAAAAATTACACTCAATCATAAAATCAGAGCCTGCAACATTATATTATATCGGGAGGGTAAAAAGATGACCTTCTCTAGGTGAGTCTCAATATCTGATAATTGAAAACTTTAGCATGAGCTCTCTCACAGTGAAAATGCTACTTCACTCCTTTTGCTTTGTCGTACTGCTAACTACCCATTAACAAAAATGCGATACTCTGTATAAAATCATGTTCAGTCTGGCCACATCTGTTCACAAGTGTCAACTTTCTAACTATGCAAAGTGTTCCCAGGCTTTTAATATGGGAAACCATCGTCAATCTATTGCAGCTTATTCCAAGTTATCTTATTACATGTATGTTTGTGTGTGTCCATAAACATAGATATGCATACACATAGACACATACATTTCTGAATCCAGTCTCTTGATAACACAAACATGCCAAGAAATGTTTTAGCTACTCAGGTTTCCCAAGTTCTATCTACTTGCTTCTTAATTCATTGCAGCTTATTCTAAGTTATCTTATTACATGTATTTTTGTGCGTATGTGTATACACGTACATTTCTGAATCCAGTCTTGACAGCAGAAAAGTGCTAAGAAATATTTAGGTAATCAGGTTTTCCAAGTTCCATGTACTTGTTTCTTAATTCATCCATATGCCCCTTGGACAACAAATGCCCATAATTGAAAAAAAATGCTCATATGTAATAAATTCCATATAATTATTATTACGTCAGATTAATTTTCTCTAATAAGGTCTAAAACTTAAGAAACTTATTCTGACAATTACATTTAAACTGTATTTAGTACTATTCAGTATATAACTTCTACAATGTTTAGCCTGGCAACACTCCTATGCAAGAAATAGGATCCAGTACTTGTATAAGCAATATGCTCATGTATATTAACATGAGCAAGAAGTAAGTTAATGTATTAAGAAACCTGAATTAATAATTTAAAGAAATTAAAAATTTAAATGTATGCGATTGATGATATGGGGTAGAGTAGACTTTAAGGTATCCCTTGTATTATGGCAAAGTTGTTGTTTGATTTATCGCCAAGTTGTTGTTTCATTTGTGGTAGCCTGAGTAGTTGAATGTTATGGAAACCCCATTGTGACGTAATCAGGCGGATGATTCTGGGAAATTTTGTATCATGGGACGTTTTGTTAGCGTTTTTGTGGTGTGTGTTGGTTTGATTCTTTAGACGTTAGAATGGCCGAATGTAGTAAGATTAATTTGAAGTATCTGTACGATTTGGAGCGAAAGGGGAAAAGAGCTTTAATTGACTGGTGTGTAAATGAAGGTTTACTTAGTAGCCATTATAAGTGTCCTGTATGCAGGAAGGATATGCGTCTAGTCGAACGTAAAAACCGTTTAGATGGATTTCAATGGGTTTGTAGGAAGAAAGGTTCAGATGGTCACTTTGTGAAGCGTTCAATCAGAAAGAGTACCTTATTTGAAAAAAGTCATTTGAGTATGATTGATATTTTGATTTTTACGTGGCTCTGAGTGTACAAAGCAAACTCGAAAATCATGGTATGTGAATATTCGCTTTTGGTAGTGCTTAAATGTATAACATGTTTTTCCTTTTTTATGTTATTTTATTGTTTGGTTTAAAATGTATTTTATTGAGATTTGTGTACTTTTTGTTTGCCTATATTGTAGAATTTGGTGCTCCTTTGACTTTTTAAGTGAAAATATATCGATGTGTACATGGACAAAGTAAAGGGAGTGCGCAATGCCATTTTTGTGCAATTCAGGGATTTTTTTTTTAAGTGAAAACAGGTCGACGTGTACATGGATAAAGTCAAAGGAGTGCGCAATGCCATTTTTGTGCAATTCGGGGACTTTTTTTTAAGTGAAAATAAGTCGATGTGCACATGGATACCGACTTCGTGCAATTGTTTGTCTTGTTATTTTGGCTTTGTGTAGCGGCGATTTTTGCGCAAAAATCGCCGCTACAGCCAAAATAACGAGTCAAAGAATTGCACAGAATTGGTATACCTGTACCGCCCAAAATCGCCAAGGGGTACCCTAAACTATACTTTTACCATGATATGAAATTGCAGATTTGCATGGAATTCCAATTTTCCAGGTTTGCAATATACTTTAGCTCTACAACACTTAAATCACAACAAAAACATACTTATATTAAATATTAGTCCGAGTACATTATTTACCCTAATTCTTGCACCTGAGTTTTCTATACCGTGATCCTGATTAAAATAAAGATGCACTTCGTTTTGAATTTGGATAAGATTTCAGTTGCTCATACTTTTCTTCAATCATGATTATAACATTTTGCACTTTTAAACTACTAATTTAGAAATATCAATTAAGATTCCGGTTTTTAGGCAGAAATATATGATAAAAATACAAAGTATTACTAAAAATAAGATTCAATGTACGAATATATTTGCAATTTAATTGTTACTACCGATGTGCAAGCTATATTTAAAATCACTAAACAAAAGGATCTCGCAAAAGTGTATATCTGTAATTATAAATATAACAATAACCTCACCTGTCTTTTGTTATAATTCTATGAAGAAAAACCACCACCAAAGAAAAAACTCATCATGCAAAAAGTATAAATAAACTGACAGATTCAGATAACGCGAGGTGAAAATGAAACTAGCAGGAAACGTTTCATTGAGTTGTAGCTCTCCTGTTAAACAAAGTGAAATAATACTCTTTCTCAGAGTGAAAATGTAAAGCATTGCACGTTAACTTTTTAAAAATTCGGATTTAATAACTTTTAACAGTTACTTTATTCATTTTTGATTTTAAATGGCCCCAGATGAAATATCTTGGAATAAATATCTGTGATAATAGTTATCAGTAAATGAACTAAATATAGGGCGACTACGCGTATTGTTTCGAATTGGTTAATATAATTTTTTATGACATTCCTTGACTACCTCGTCGTTTTAACAAACACATTAGCTTTATATAGCTTGGTTTTAAGTTATAATAAATAAATTTATTTATTAGTTTATAAGGTATTTCTCCCTCCTTCTTAGCACAGGGACGTAGCTAGAGGGGGGCAAGGGGGCATCTGTCCCCGGGCGCAGAATCCAAGGGGCGCCGAACTGATGTTAGGACATTTTAGAATTATATGTTTTCCATCCTTGGCAAGCAGTAGGGGGCACGAAATCTTCAGTTGTCCCTGGGCGCTGAAAACCCTAGCTACGACTCTGTCTTAGCATGCCTTTATGGTGTACTGGTCAGTACGCTCGACGCGTTTTCGAGAGGCCCGTGGTTCGAGTCCCGGCGAGGGCATTGCTCATTTTTTGCTTCTTGAGGTTTAAAAAAATACCTAATGTCTCTACAGTGGCGCTCGAACTAAAAAAGGTGGTGGATGATGATTCTCTGCGAAAGCTTTTGACAGGGTATGACATCGCGGCCTCATTTACAAATTAATCACTCTCAGTTTTCCAGATCATTTTATTCGCTTAATTTCCTCTTTTATCAGCAATAGAAAATTCAGAATCAAAGTTGGTACTACTTACTCAACCACCAGAGTAATCAAAGCTGGTGCCCCACAGGGGTCGGCCATTTCGTCGTATCTCTTTAATATATCTATATACGTAAGACATCACTAAAGACCCTTCTGTTCATCTTGCATTCTTTGCCGATGACACCGCCATACTTACTAAAGCTGCACACCATCGCCATAAGAAACCAACTCCAAAAGTATCTCATAAAACTGGAAAAATGGCTCACCCTTTGGAGGATTAAAATTAACATTGATAAAACCAAGGCAATAATTTTCCGTAAGGGAAACATTAACTATTACCCTCCACCCCCTGATATATTTGACGAAGAAATAGACTGGATTAATGAGACCAAATACCTTGGAGACAACCTGGATCAAAAACTTACCTTCAGAAACCCACTTCCGCTCCGTAGCACAAAAATTTAAAATCACCTTAGCTACTATGCGACCTCTTCTTGGTAGAAGAGCAGTTAGCATGTCTTAGCATTACAGTGGTCAGCATGCTTGGCGCGTATTCGAAAGGTCCGAGGTTCGAGTACCAGCGAGGGTTATTCATCTCTCCTGCTTAAAAAATACCTAATGTCTCTACAAGTTAAACATAAATTACTACGGAAATACCTGCGCATACTACGGAAAACACATGAAAGGGGAGGAACTTATAGACAAAGATACTCGTATTTCATATTCATATAGATAAAGGAAATCGTGCATTTGCCTAATAATGAATCCTCATAAAATTTTCAATTAGGGAATTCTATATGTACAACAAGTATAATATTCCAGTATCTGATGGTCTCAGGCGATTAACCCTATATCGAGTTTCCCATAAAAGGGCTCACATTTTTTCTAAAATGTCTGGTAGATGCCAGGATTTTCAAGACTTGAATTATATAGCAGAGCTAATTTTTTATGCTTCGAGGAGTGTTGTACTCTCTAAAAGAATATTTTCAAGTATAGACACTATATGGTTAAAGAAGAAATCTAGGTTAAGCATTTAGGGACCATACGAGTTATGGATTATTTTTTGTTATCGAGACCAGATTGCGAAATGTATGTATGTATGCATGTATGTACGTATGTATATATGTATGTGTATAAATACATATATACACATAACATTTTGTAATTCTGGTACATTCTGGTGTTGTACATTTTGTAATTGTGGTAACACTCATTAGGTCTTTGTCGCTTTCTGGCAACCTTTTTCCACGTTTATAGTTCAGTTTAATTTTAGGAAGAACTCGTATCGGACGCAGGTATGTTTGCCAATTTTGTAAATTACATTTCTTCACGAATTACTCTGCTTTTTGGTCTTAACAGAACCCCTCTTACTTAAAATTTTTTCATTGGGGAAAAGTTTTTATTTTTTACGCTAAGGGGCCTACCCCTCGAAATGAGGTTTATTGAAACTTTCAGGATTAACAATGAATAATTCGATTGTACATTTGCTTAACCAGGACACTTTGTATAGGATTTTTTTTTTACATCTTTTAAATGATTTTTTTTCTTGATTTCACAAGTTTTCTTTCTTGTTTAAAATTTATTGCTTTGCTCTTTTTAAGCTTTCCTTGTTAAGACATCGTTAGTAATAGATGAATAAAAAATTAATTACAAGAAAAGACGTTTTCAGTCTCAATATATTTGTTCGACGAAAGATGTTTGCATGTTTTTGTGGGTTAATCAACTTAGTTGAGGGCTTTAAGCACTTTTCCCTTGATAAGTATTGTTTGAAGCCTTGAACAGAGAAGATTAATGATGCTTTTATATGTACAATATTTCTGTTTTATGTAAACTGGATAGTTTTTTTTCGCGTACAATTTTTGATTTTGTTGTACACGTTTTCTTTGTATGTATATTGGATAGGTTTTTTTCGCGTACATATTTTGATTTAGATAATGTGACATTGTTTTACATGTAATATCAGGAATTTTGAAGTTCAAATGTTCTTTACGACCCTAGCTAGTTTTTAACCTATCCTTTTCTTACAAATCTTTTTAAAATTTGCAGCTCAACGCCCAATTTTGACCAACTAGGTCTCACGATTTTATGATTTACTACTTTTTACTTATATACGGGTTATCTAAATTAAACTTCCCCAACTCAGAGGCCTGTACAGAGTGTTGTATGGGTCATAATGTGATGAAATTTTAAAAACAGACACTTCAGATCATGCGCTCGAGATTTATTAAACCAAAAAATAGTACAAGAAGTTGCCGATAGGTGGCTCTGCAGATCAATAAGACATTCTACAGATGTCCTATATGTGTGCCGTGGTTCTCCACAACTCTTTCCATTCGCAAAGCAGTGTGTTACACAGCGGAACGCAGTAAGTCCACATTGATTCCACGAACATGTCGAATAATTGCGTCTTTCAGATGTGCCAAGGTTGCTGGGTGTTCTCGGTAGACCCGATTCTTTAAGAATCCCCATAACCAAAAGTCGCATAGCGTGAGATCAAGCGAGCGGGGAGGCCAAGCTGTAGGGAAACAGCGGCTGATCACACGTGCATCGGTAAAAGTTGCCCGTAACACCTGTTGAATGCCACGAAGAATATGGGGAGGTACACCATCCTGCATAAATATCGTGTCCTGGAGGCGGCCACGTTGTTGCAGTTCAGGGATCACAAACGTTGTCAACATGTCCTGATACTGTTTTCCTGTAACAGAGCAGGTTTTGAATCCTGTTGGAGTCACCTCTTCAAAAAAATAAGGCCCAGTGACGAATGTTGCAGTGAAACCGCACCATACAGTAATCTATGGAGGGTTCAAGGGCACTTGATGGATTGCGCGCGGGTTTTCACTTGCCCAAATGCGGCATTTGTGCGTATTCACTTGACCATTCAGGTGAAAATGGGCCTCATCCGTCCAAAGGATGTTCCACGGCCAAGCAGCATCGACTTCCAATCTGGCAAGGAAGTACAACGCAAATGTTTCCCGAACTACAGGATGCCCGTCGGACAGCTGATGACGACTATGGTATTTGTAAGAAAAATAGCCCAGGATTCGACGCATCACACGCCAGACGGTAGTATAGGGCATATCAACAACAGGAGAAACAGTTGGCACACTGACAACACCATGTGGCGATTGGCTGGTGGGGGCCACGACCGCCAAAGCAACGTCTTCTACGCGTGCAGATTCCACAATCTGTCGTCCTCTATCTGGTAAAATTCCCATCTGCCCCGTTCTTTCGAACTTCTTCATCATGTCTCGTAGAGCACGTGCTGTCATTGGTCCTCGGCGTAAGATCTTCAGTCGACGGATTGCTCTTATCGCAGCACAGGAGTTCTCATCATTCTGGTAGAAAAGTTTCACTAACAGAGCTTTGTCTTTCAAAGTCACCATTGTGCATCAGCGAGCTGGAAACAACTGCCTGTGCAAGGCCTGTCTTCCACTTTTGTAGGGCTCGCCTTTTAGATACGTTGCACAGAAGCTTTATTTCTGCAAATCCCGTTGCTGCAATATGCACATTACTAGTGTTACAGCGCCCCCTATCGGCAACTTCTAGTACTAATTTTTTTTGTGTGTGTAATAAATCTTGAGCGCATGATCTGAAGTGTCTGTTTTTAAAATTTCATCGCATTACGACCATGCAATACTCTGCACAGGTCTCTGAGTTGGGGAAGTTTAATTTGGAGTACATACATACATGCATACATTATACATTTCTGAATCCGTTCCAGATAACAGGAAAGTACCGAGCTGTGTTAGTTGTAGGGGAGTAGCCTGAATTTTCATTCCTACTGAGTATTAAATATTTAAAAACTCATATTAATGTATGCAAGTTAGTATTACATGTATTCGAAAGTTGGCTACAGATTTTTCTGATTATTAACTTATTATAACGTTATTTGTTAATTATTATCTAATACGCAAAGTAATAAAATACACATACAAACACGAGTTTAAAATCTGAAATGAGAATTTTTTCAGGTAAGATTTGGAAACATATTCTAAAATCACAACTCGCTTATATTTCCAAATGTAATCAGAAAATAATTTATATTAATCAATCACTGTTTTATCTTAGTGCCTGATAAAAGTTAAACACTGGTAGAGTTAACTCTGATATTGGCAGAAACAATGACGCAGTATTTTAACTTTCACTTATCATGTTATGAATACTGCAGGTAATTGTACATGGTATGCAT